ACAAAAAAAATTCGTTTAAGAAGTACAAAAGTGAAAAAGTCAAAGAATAATCATTATTGATGAGTCCTACCAAACGAGCAAACGAGAAACAGACCAAAAACGACAAACTAGCCACTAAAAATGGCATACTATGACAACATCTGTTCTTTATTTATTTCCTCCACAAGACTTACCAAATTCTAGTACTACACAGATTATGGTTCTCAATTTACACGTCCCCCTTTCGCTCAAAGGAAGCCTTGTAAAAGCCTTCGCCAGCTGTGTGTTGACTGGACTTTGGCGTTGACCGTGGAGCAGCTTATTTACTATTGAAATTTGAACAAATATTCAAATGATTATAACTTTCTTCAAAGTTAACGAATTTTCAATCTGAAAGCAGATTTGGGAGTTTTGTGAAGAGCTTTTTCTAATCAGTACTGAAATTACAAAAAGTTATAAGAAATAACAAATTTAGATCAAATAACGAGGAAAATTCGAGACGAGCACGAGTTTTTACACTTTCCGGAGCAATAACTTGCTTCATTTCCGTCAAATTCAAAAAGTTGATACGTCATACAAAACTAGAAGATTTTCTCTATCAAACGGTCGCTAAAGCAGCTTCATACGTCCAGTACTCAAAAAATGGCCACGTTGAGGATTTTTGCAAAATTAACGAGGAAAATTCGTGATGAGTGCGAGTTTTTTACTTTCCTAAAGCCATAACTCCGTTCAAACTCATCCAATCCGAAAAGTAAATACGCCATCATAAACTAGAAGATTTGCTCTATCAAATGCTTACTAGAACTGCTCCAAACGTCCAGTATTAAAAAAACGGCTACGTTGAGGATTTTTGCACGAGTACCGCCGAAAGGTACTTTTTCGCTACATTGGCACTATTTCAACGGCTGTATATCCTTTTAAGGGCGATTATGTACTAAAGTAAGAGCAGATTTGGAATCACTGCTTTTCTTTCTAAGAAAAGTAAAATTGTTTAGCGTTTCTCAACTTAAAGGTTACATGTTTATGAATTAAACCCTGAAGAGTGCGTTAATGCAATGTTGAATGGTGTACACCTCCCTGTAATTGCGCACGGACACTTTCAGAATCCTCTCGATTTTTCCTGAATTGAGATTGTTTGTCCAAGGAGCCGTAGTTGAAGCGCGCGCAACAACTGGACCCACTCTGGGATGCGCCGTGTACTTCACATCCCTTCAGATTCGAGGACTCACTTGAAAGATAAAATATCCCTTGGAAAGCGTGCGAATTTCAGATTCTTTAACTTGTGTGGTGATAAAACACTGAAGTAACTAAGAATTACTACGCGGACGCCTCAGAATCACGAAAATTTTGTGTGGGTGAAATATCATTTTCATTGGAAATCCTCTGGCCTGGCATCGACTCATCCTTGATATTTGTCTTCCGACGGTGATGATCCCACTGCATCAAAATGGCTCGATCTCTTCCACCCAGCGGGCCAATACGACCCCCCCCCTGCGACGTGTCGAGGATTCCTCAACGCACGCTTGACCCTGCTTGTGAGCGCAGACAATGACGCAATTGGGCCGCAATGACGCAAGCCAGTGTCATGGATCTCGAGCACCGCAATGGGCCGGGCGCGGTGCCGCCAGGGGCAACACGCATCGCGACAGACGCATCTCCCAAAAAAAAAACCTCGACAGCTTGTGCGAAAATAATAAGAGCACGCCAGACCGATATATCCTACAGTCCGTGGTATTCACACACCCTATATAGAAACGTACCCTGAGGTTTACCATGAATTGTAGCTTCACCCTTATCCGCTTCAATAACCGCCTTGAAAACAGCTTTATTTCTGTTCTTCCACTTTCTCATAACTGCATGGCAGGTTGATAAACACTCATGCCGTAGGATCTTGAGCATGACAAGGTCCGAATCCGTTTTCCTCCTCCTTCCCCTGTCGAAAATTCAGTTCTCTCCTTTATATGGCGGATTTTCTACTGTGTGGAAAGAGGACATTTTACCGTTAAGGCAACAAGGAGCAAAACGGGCCCTTCAAAAGATGCTCTGAAGCGCCAACGTTGGTCCGTCCTTCTTTTGGTCTACACGCCCATTGCTGGGCGTGGATTACGCCGCAATGGGTAATATGGCCGATAGATTTGGAAGAGATGTGTAATACATCACACTGATGCAGCTGCGTTCATCTTAACTGGAAATGCCCTCTTCTCGTCTCATAGATTGGCGAGGAGTGGGTCCTTGTACGGCTTTACGTAGGCCGACTTCCTGGTTAGGTTTTTTTTTCTTCTAGCCAACTCGCTAGCCAATTTTCACGGTCGACCGCTGTTATCCCACAAATTTCGATCCGGAGTTCTTGCTTAAAGATAAGAAAGCACATTGATTTCAATTTTCGAAATTGTCGTTAGCATATTAATAATTATAAGGTAATGACTCCAATTTTGGCAAGATACTCATGAGCGTGAGTTGAACGATAGCGAATACATTGAAATATATTGAAGTAGGGTAGCCTAATTGGTTTTTTCTGATGTTTCTACGAATATTTTTGACTTGCTAATGCAATGTCGACTGATCTGAAATTTCCCATCAAACTATGTTGACCCAGCAACCAAAAAACCATGGAGTGTTTCAAATGCGTATGGAGTTATCCAATTGCCCGTCGTAACTGATTCTTATCAGCGTCCATTTATTTGAACCGGAGCAACGGTTCACCGGCGCTTTTAAGAACCTCGATCTTCTTAAATCCGTCAGTACCACCTGTTCGCATTGAATGATGTTATTCCTTTGGTTATTAATGATGATCCTGCCACAGATTAGCTGATAGGCTCTTATGTCGTCCAGACGGTTCGCCTAGTTGTCTGCCCATCAAATCAGTGCAACTTCAGTCCATTTGTATTTATTTCCGTGCATATGTGCCAATTGACTTATGCATGCTACATGCCTATATCCTCGAAATCTGTTTTGAAATAACCCAGCCAGACAGCATACGATGCTCGAGAGGTAGTAGGTTTCACCTCATATTTTTCGAGTTTTTTGAAATAGAGTGGGCCTAAGTGCATAGAATTTATCGTGACTCTAGTTCTTGGAAATGCGAGAGCTTTAGGCGAGCTCAAAGAATAAGCTTTGTTTTCTCGTCCGAAGATGCCACCGGCCCTCTGGTGCGGTTGTTTATTCTGAGATATTGTTATCACTATCATTCATCTTCCATTTTGAAAGCGCATGCGGAGGCTTTACGTGATAATTACCCTGTCGTACCTTTCCTAAGGGTACCCTTATCCAAAGACCACTCGAAATCCCTAACCTTTCTTCGGTGGAAAAGTTGAGAAGGTCTTCACTCGTCAAGTTGGCATTCCTTCTGGTTTCTTATTCTCTGCATCATTCAGTAGTTCTTCTTTGATAAACATCAAATTATAGCACTCGCTACCTTCAGAAGCAGAAAACACTCGAGATTTCTGATATAATTTAAAGGAACTCGTTCGTCTAACTCAGGAAATTGAGAAAACTGTGGTGAATCTAACCATTGACTACTGTACCTTGACATGCTAGAATAACGTGAAGTCTTCTCCGAACATTTTCTGGTGATATATCCTACCTTATCAGCACTCATTATTTGGCTTGAATTCTTTTTTTTTTCATTTTCGTTTAGAGGACTCAACGAAAGTTAACTTCAAAAAACTTCTTTTTGGTTTGAATTAACAATCTCCATCGTGAAGTTCACGAACATAAAGGTGAAAAACAAGCGGGATACCGTTCAACCCATTTCCAGAAAATGACAAGGTTTCCAGCGCTGTACTGTTAACTATACATACATACAGGACACCTGGGTCTTGTTTTGAGCATCCCTTTCCCTACAGCTGCCCCCACCGTCTGATATAATTGACTCCGAACACAACAATGCTAACAGTGCTCCAAAATTTTACAGCGATTGCATTTTTTCTCGCTAAATGCCGAGAGACTCCGAGAATCTTTTTTGCTGCTGGATCTCTAAAGGAATATTGCGTTGGATAGAGGAGGTACAGACATTAGAGTTGCATTGGACATTACTATTCTATCGCACATGGCAACACTTTATATAATTCTCCTTATCGTAGTATGCTGAATGAACAACAGTAGGTGTGGCAGTGAAGAAAGCTGTGATGGCGTTAAGGCGAGCCTCCGAGATGAATCTCATGGCATAGCTTTCCAATATGGATTTTGTTTTGATTTTGTATTTTATATTACTAATGAGCAATTTTTGAAAATAGCGGAGATAACCTCGTATGGTCTGCACAGAACATCAAATTGATTGCAACTGTTGTCAGAGAACTCGGAATTAAAAGGAATAAGTGATATTGCATGGCAAATGATGAGCGCGCTGGTACTCGACCCTGTCGTCAGTGGCACTTGTTGATGCGACAAAGTGAGGCCACGTACCGTCCCCCGCAGCTCGTTTGCCTTTTTGTTCTTGAAGGACCACTAGCTAATTCCTTCAGACAGGTATTTTCGAACAGCGATTCACATTCATCCTCAATGAGATCCTGCTCTTTGCCGACGTGACCGTACGCCGACCGTCCTCTATATTTTGTGTTTTTTCGATTACTTTCTCGTTGATGTCGGAACTTCGTATTGATTTCTAATTCACTGTCAGTCAGACAACAATGCATGGTCACATATCTCCACGGTCATCCCTGATTCATTACTCCGCAATCCGCTGCGCGTCCAAATGCAATGTCATCGACAGTGATCCGACCCGCGTGACAGCACTACGTAGCGCCCACGTTCATTACGCTCTCCTATTCCAATCTATTCTCTCATCATTCGACCTTGCCATTTGTTTCTAATTGCCCAAAGATGTAATGGTCGACCATGAGAGACGAGTCTTGTGCTGCTATTTTGGTAATAACTGCTTGCTTACACTGTCAATTCCACAGCCCATTCATATGCGCGTCGCGGCTGATCTTTTTGACACGTCCTAAATTTGCGATCCCATGATGATCGGCTCTGCTGCCTTTCTTACTCACATTTTTTTTACTTTTTACTTTTTTTTAGTCTGGACCAATGTAAAGTATACCATTAGCATTAAGATTCCGAGGGTTCCTGATCACAGCAAGTCCCATGGAGATTATGGTAATCAGCCAACAAAAACGCTCTTTCAAGGCAAGCCGCGCTTTTTCTGGTACGGTTCTTGCATATTGTAGGGACGCATGTATGGACCACAAAACCATGTTTCATTTTCGCTGAACGGTTTTAGTAGTACCAAAAAAGTGGTGAATGATACTCTGATGGTTCGATCCCCGCGGCGACTAAATTTTGCAATCAAGGTTGGCGGCCACTTTTGGCTTCAAAATGGTCCTGACGATGAATATGACATCTGATTTTGACATTTAGCGCGATTTGGCACCAACCGTAGGCGCCAACCCAAATGCAAAATTTAGTCGCCACGGGGGATCGAACCATTAACAGTGCCTTTTTTTGGTACTGCTAAAACCGTTCAGCGAAAATGAAACATGGTTTTGTGTTCCCTACATGCGTCCCTACAATATGCAAGAAACCGTTTTGAAAAAGCGCGGCTTGCCCTGAAAGACCCCTTGTTAGGTTTGTCAAGCGAGGGAAAATGGCCATTTTTATGCAGCCCACTCAGTCTCTCAGGGACATGGCAAACATCTTCTCGTATTATAAATGTTTAAAAGAGAATTTATACTTACCCATTTTCTTTCCTGTTTAGAGGAATTGCTTAACCATTGCGAAGTTCTTTTGATCTCACGAAGTTGGGATTCACTGTAATCCGCACGAATCATAGCACCTACCTCCTTTTTCGGAATAAACCCGCCAGCTTTTTCGCATGATGTCTGGTCATTGCTGTCTACTGTAAACCGATATGCAAATTATGGAACTTTTTATTCGAGGGCGGTAACTATCAAAGCAAAAGAATTTTGAATGTGAATCGTTGCGCTGTCTAACTCACCCATTTGATGTAAACTTTATTGGTCCAGACACCGAAACTTTTTATTTTTATTCTGACAATATGGAAACAATTTGGCTCGAGGTACCCTGCTTTAGTGTCTCACAATGTCACGCAAACGACTTTTCTATTAGGACCAATCCACAGTGAGACATGTGTCACTCCGACTTTTGATTCGAAAAATTATGGAAAGTACAAGATAAATTAGCAAATCCCCAGCTGACTTAGAAATAGTATCCGCCGATCATTACCTCAAGAAGTGTGCTCTCTTTTATCTTGATAATGTTACGAAAGACTTATTTACACTGATAACCATAGTGACCGTTGCGGAAAAGTACTTATGGCGCAATCTGTTATAAACCTACAGTAATTCCGAAGTACAGCCTTAGGGAACATTCCGATTCACGTCGACGCTAGATCCTTTACAAAAATTATTCATTTGGACTTAGATCACAATATTGCTCCTTTGAACTAACCCTGCTTTCTCGAGTATGGATGTGTCCTTTTTCTTGTTCAATTTTCTAGGTGTGGCTTTTCGCTAAGCAGCCACTTCCTTTCGGAATTGTGGAGGATGTTCAAAACAGATCAACTATACAAAATTACCCCATTTTATGTGGCCATCACATAAAATGGGGCAATTTTATATAGTTTATCAGTTTTATTGAATGTCTAGAAAGTATGCACATAGGATGCGACCCGTTATTGGTACCGCTGCTTCCCAAACGTCGTTCGAAATTCTACAAACCCAACCAAATGCACTTGGAACGAGAGTTGCTTCCTTCCATTCCTTCTTTTCTTTGCGCAACTCCAAGATCTAAGAGATCTCAGCTTTCCGGTAGCTATCACGATCACCGCTAAATGTGAACGCTGGCTCTTTTACAGGGCGAAATACGAGATTTCGAACGAATATTTATCTGACAATAACGAACATATTTGGCGTTGTGCAAAGCGACAGCTGGGTTCGAAAAATTCGAATATTTCTTTTTGAAAAAAGCAAATCTTCAGTGGAAATCTTTTCTTCCAAAACATTGTCGCGAACATTTTGCGTGCACGTGAGCTTCCAGATTATTTTTGAAATGAAGCGAGCATGACAACCTACGGCAATAAAAATTTCTATACTAAAATTGGTTGCAGTTTACGTTGAAGTTACCGAGTCGAGAAATTGTCTCGTCAGAACTTCTTTCCTAAGGTGTCCGAAAAATATTTCCGAACATGCTGGTTCTTGAGCTTTCAATGGTCATAAGTTTTCTGAAAGTTAAATTTGACTAAATAGATGGGCGTGGTTGAGAACCAAGTAATTCTTGCTTTCCTACTGTACTGAATTTGAACTGTATGTTTGCTTGAGAAGATTCTGAATATAACCCTTTTACTTGCTCTCGTTTTGAATAGCGCCATGCACGCCCCCCCCCCCCTGGTACAAGGTTACCTCTTTGGTTGTGGCTAACAGAAGCCAGCTATTGTGATCCTCATTTTGTTTTGATGGGAGCATAATCCTACAGATATGATCCAGTCTATCTGTTGAACTGCTCAACATGCGCCTCAGCGCTTACGACCCCCTCTCGGTTGGCCAAATGTGTACTTTTAAATTTTGAACGAACGTATCTGCTTATGAGTCTGCGTTTGCAGTACTGGTTCTAGCACCTTTTCAGGGCATTTTGGCCTAAACTCGGCTGTATTTGGAAGATCCAGAAACAAAAACTCGCTATACATTTACATTAATTTATAATCCATACTTTTGCATTTCCTGTTAATGGCAATCTGTCTATTCAAACACGTTCCTTTACATATGTTACGTTTATGACATGCACAAGCTGTGAGATACACGTTGAACGAGTTTCTACTACTGCATTAGCAAGATAACACTATGCTTAGAACGAGATTTTCCGTTGGACCTTCACTATACTTTGTTCCTACTCCATCTTACACGTCCTTGTCGTTACCTTCTTACTCCAACATCCTACCGGCGTCTTTTAGTACTTCTCCATTCTCGCTGATTCTGTTTCGATCATTGTTTGTCTTCAAAGTAGAAGAGTGGCGCGACGTTCATGAACGAGCTAGAGAAGCGAAAATTGTCTTCAAAATGGCTTGGCTAATTCGGTTACAGCATTGTCTTCGTCTATAATTTTAACACGACTGTTGGATGCTTGAGGTCACTAAGCTCCTGGAAGCGCTGGCTGTAGAAGTTCTATAACAGTTCAGATTTATAATAGTTCCATTCAGATGTGACTCTCACACAATTAACACACTAACAAAACGCATCCGCATCACAAGATCTTTCCGTTGATTTGAGGTCATAGGTCTAATTGTCTGATTCGTCCAAAATAGCGGAGTTTAGCGAATTAGTGTTAACCAATCTTTTGCTATCACTACGGTAACTATGTATTGCTCCAGTTAGACGACGCCGCCACCTCTACCAGGTGTTTCGCGCTATTATTCTGTTTGGGTATTCAGGCCGATGTGGAATTCTTCTTCTTTTTCACAAGAACATTTGCAGCGTGTTACTATTAGACTTTATTCGTGAGTATACCGTGTAATTCAGGTGATTAGCCCTTGCGTAAGGATAAAGAAATCGATGAAATAGACGTTCATGTAGCAGCGGGTAGTCTTGCAGAAGAACCATATTCATTTTGCACGTGTTCTTGAAACGGCTTCTAAAACTTTTGTTTGATTGGCGTCCTGCATTTCGATCTGAATAGCTTCATATTATTTTCTTCACCTTTTTCAATTTCTCATAAACATAGACAAAGGTATACATTTTATTTTCACTTTCCAATACCGGCCTGGGACCATTGTCAATGGAGGTGTTTGTTATTTTATTATTTATTTATTTATTTATTTATTTATTTATTTATTTATTTATTTATTTATTGGGAACGTAGGCAAGTTCACGCGAAATAGGCGACAAAACGTACAAAAAACCAAAAAGACAAAGGCGCATAGAAAGTGGCATTGTACATGTGCTGAAAGATTAAACAAGGACAAAGCATACCTTAAATGCTGGAACGAACTGTATCAACAGCAATTCAAAAAGAAGAGTAAGAATCAAGAGACCCCTGAAGTAAAGAAATGAAAAAAAAGGGTCATAAAATTGGGCTAAAGCTTCAGAGGTCGTCTCTGAAATGGCCTGAGAGACAAAGTTGGCAGTACTTTTAGCGAAATAATTTTTCTGAGAAACGATGTGAGAGCTTCTAATTAGGGGAACTATTTCAGCGGGTCATCCGTTCCTGATGATTTTGCCAAGGAATCTGGAGGCTTGATGCTACGCTCTCCTAGTGTTTGTTATTAAAACAACACTCAAAGGTGTGAAGAGCACTAAACTCATCTCTGCTGTCAAATTATGTTGAAACTCCATTAGGTGTGGGGGGCAATATTATCAAAATAACACTGACTGGAAGAATAAAAACTTCTGAGCCCTAATTGAATCTCTTCTGTCGTGCCATTGCTGTTACCAGCTTACAGAGCGCCTGAGCCTATGGTTACATTGGAAAATGTAGGTGTATAAAACCTACTGACTTAATTTTGGTGTAGTTTCAAGAGAGTGAGAGCGAATTTATCAGGATACCCTTCTCCAGGGTGGAACATAGCAGAACTCCTCTGCTAGTGTAACGAAAGTGGAGGCCACGCTTCTCATCAATAATGGGACCATATTATAGTAAATAAATGAAAGGCCACTCAAAATTGATGCACACTTATATAACCCTAAACAAACTTAGCTCAGGTTAGTTGATATTATCCAAGTTGAACCAACCTCCAGGCTATTTGCCAACCTAAAACCGTTCTAAAGCCCCTCATACGAAAACAGTTGTGCACCATAGAGATGGATATCCAATGCAACCAACCCCACAGTCCTATCAGTTAATGGTCAAGACCTTTCTCTATAATTCCAGACATAATAGAGAGTTTGGAGTTTTGTGCGTTAAGTTTAGGAATAGCTCAGGAGGATAACGAAGAGGGTCTTGTAGATTGGTACAGTGCAATTCCATAGTTTTTCAGCACAGCAAATGTCGTCGACGCGCATCGCTGCCTGCCACCAATTTGAATGTATCTCCCGCTTACCCTTGCGCCCTTTGAGATTCGAAGATCACGAGCAGCGAATTGAGGCGACCTTGCCTCTATTCACACAGGTATCGCACGGCCTTGCTCAGTGCCCTTCTTCTTCAGCAGCATCATCTCCACTCAGGTTTTGTCAACCATTCACCATTGCGAACCCTACGACCAAAGACATACGCGCTGCGTTGGAAGGTGGCCTTGACACTACAAAAGGCTCGAAGAGATACGCACGGACTCCACTGCTATCGAGACTGTTCAAGTTCCACCAAATGTGGCTTATGATAACAGTTTGGCGCAATGTGTTTTCATAGAAGAGATAATTCATATCGTCATACCATTTTCTTACTATCAAATTGCGATTCAATGATGCCTTATTCAAAACTTGCTTTGATATGGGTTTCATGGAGAACAGGCCACAGAGAGTTAGAGACGCTAAGAAACGAAGATGTCTGTACTATGACGAGCTAGCAGGTAAAGGCCTTTTGGCAAAGATACTATGTGAGATAGCGCCGGCTAAAGCTTTCATAACTTCGTTCAAAGGATCGGTTGACATATCTACGTAGAAAGCAACTTTTTTGCTCGGTGCCTCGTAGTAAACGCTATGGTCTATACGCCATTTGGCCGGGACCTAAAGAATTTCCTTTGCAATCTCTCTGCCACTTTCACAACCCCATCACGTGGCCTACATGAGGAAAATGGCCGCTCTTTCAGTCAGAACACATCCTTGATTTGAGTCGCTCGATCTTCACTCTTTCCGAGAAGCTATGGATGATAGTCCATTGAACTCTCACAAGACATTATCACTATGGCTGCCAATCATTTTGCTTGGCTGGATAAGCTGATCAAAAGCAGAATGAGGGGAATGGAGAATACCTTTTCTCCTTGAGGTCGCTTGCACCCACATCCTAAAACAGTCGCTGTCTAAAAAGGCCGAACTGAGCTCAGGGAAGGATTTCAAGCACTGTACCCCTCCAATGACCCAATCTTATAATACATTATAATAAACAGGGTGCAAGGTTAATTCAAGTCTGTAATTGAGTGTCGACAATGTGATTCCGCTCCTAGGCATAGCTCATTGCAGCTCAACAAAAGCTATCGAATACCACCGGAGCTTCTTCAACAATAATCGCAAATAGCGTCTTTATTGCGGGCCGGATACCCGACTGAGAGCACAGTGGTAAAGAGGTGCAAAAATATGTCGGTGGATAAAAAATCGACATATGAGTTTGAATAAATTATAATGGATGGATACATAACCTAATAACTCTACATCTAGGTTCAACTGCATGTTTTTTTTAGAAGAGCCAGTGTTAGCATTCGGAAAGACTTTTTCTGCTCTACACTATTTCACTTGCCATTTTCTTCAGTATTAACACGTTGACGACCGCCGTTGTGCGCGTACTGCTTCAACATTTTTCGTATTCTCTCATCAATAGGCATTAATCCTTCAGCGTTTTCATTATCAGTAATGAAAAAATTGTTTTTCGGATCCAATAATGTACATGGACCGTTGTGGAACAGGAAAAACGCCAAATAAATTAAGGAAAACTAGTCTGCTCCATGTGAAAGTGTGGTATGACATTATACCACACGGTCGTCAACGTGTAAGAGTGTATTCAGACGAGCTTACATATGGAAATAGAAGACAAATTCTGAATATTCAGCAATGGCCATTTGGCCTTCACTGGACAAAGGCTACCAAAGCTGAAGTTGTGATCATTGGGCCTTCCTCTGAGCGCTTATTCCTTTTACGCCCATTTTCATGCCAGACTTGCATCGTACAAACTTAAACTCTAGTGAAATTCTACGAAATGGACTCAAAATAGCCAATAATGATGAAGAAAATATCGCCGAATAGTTTTATCATATACACTGAAACACTTAGAATAGCTAACACTTGTTCCGTTTTTGACACATTTACTGATAAACTAACAGAATTCATAAGAGTGTTACTAGGAAATGGTTACCATGAGAACTTTATTATAACTAATATAGTTAAGTGCATTTATAAAAATAAGTTTATATGTTACAAATTTTCAATTGCTAATAATTATAAAAATATTAGTAAGTTAGTGGAAGGAATACTTCGTCACTAAAGTGCTATCTAATTGTTAGTGGAACAATTACAAACACCCACCCTTTACACTTTATAGTTTTACATTTTTAATCATTTTTAATCAACTTATTTTTTCATTCATTTAGTCAATATACAATTCATTTCATTGCATGCTCCTCTGCATGAAAGTACGTACATCAAGGTTTATTCGTCTTTCCCCTGTGTCTTTATTTCGCCAATCCCAACTCACTGATGAGCTCCGGGGATTGACGAAATAATAAGGTTCGTCTGAGGAAGGAGCGAAACGAACCGTATCTATTATTTTGTTTATAATGGTTTTTCTTTCTTTATTTGTATTTTTATGCACTTCCTCCAAATGTTCGTGTCGAATATAAGCGCCATGATGGCATACACCAGCCAAATATTAATGCTTTTAATCTTCAGAATGGTGCAGAGGATTGCACGAACGCACAACGTCCCACAAATTTACACACTCGTCCACGATTCGTGAGTTTTGCTGTACTTGTTTGAATGTGTACTTTTTCATTATTGCTTTCCGATTGTGTTACCTCGCTGGTACGCTTGCTCCTCGATTGACGGGCTGGCCTTTTGGATTTTTTTTTAATTTTTTTTAAATCTGGAGTTTATTTGCTGACTATTTCCTTGATCCCCTTATTGAGTTACGGAAGTACAGTCGTATTCCGGCAAAGCTTTTATATGCACTTTACTGCATCTTTTATCAATATCCACGGAAATGAATGTTTCTTAGCGTTCCCCCACCTAGTTCAGCTATTTTAATCCCACTGTTCCAAGTTTTTCCTGGTATTGTTTGAGGGAAACCACTCTCACACTAATCGCGACCACACATTTTCATTTGTTTTTTGTTTATTTACTATTGCACTCAAGGTGGGCCTGAGGCATTCGAATCGCCGTGGTACAAATACAGAGTTGACTGCTAGGTAAATTCTTATTATAACACACATCATCTTTTTTAAATTTATCTATCCGAAAAATACCTAAGTGCCTTGATTCGAAACCGTTTGCAAATTTCTGACAGCTATGAAGGAAAACTCATCATAGGAACATTATGCCAAGTAATGGGACGTCCACATGATTGCATAGAACATTAAGTCGATCTTACTGTGACGCAACCCAACGACGAATACCAGGCGGGCAGAGCCCAATTTTCTCTTCTCTATGTAAGCTTTTAAACGTAAATCTCACGAGCATAAAGGCACATGGTCACAATCGAATTGGTGCTTTATTTGGTCCTAATAGGCAATAGTGCGAAGAAAAAGCTCGTGGGGCAAAAAGCAAAAAGCGCTACAGAAAATAGGGAAGCTTTTTCCGCTGTCAATATGTTACAACGAAGAGACACAGCGCTGCGAGGAAATGGAAAACCTCACAGCACGTCTTGCGCGAAACGCCACATACGCTGCGATTGGTAAGAATGGCAGCGGTCGCTGCGGTCAAGCGATTGCACTAACTATCTTGTCGTACACTACGTCGCGACAGTGCTACCACTCATATGCTCAGGAATCCGGTTACCTTACTGCACGAGAGAACTACTCTAAGGGTCTAATTCGACTCGTGCCCTCGAATGAAACCGAGAATTTGATAAACTGGTATTATATACGATGTGCCAAGAAAAGGTAATTGGACCACGGCCTCTCGGCTTCTGCTAGGCTGGTTAAATCCACGGCCATCCTCCAATTGCTAGAGAGATGTGCACATAAGTTGAAAGGTAGTCGAACATCATACACACTGTAGGCAGACCAATGTGGGCTAGAGACCATGTACATTCCTTCCCGAGCAGTGTGGTATACATTTGGAGCATATTTTCAATGTTTATTCAAATATACTTAAGGATTCAAAAAATTGGCCGAACGGTCGTGGGTAGTAATTGCAATATCTGAATTGAAAGACATAAACATAAACAATGAAGAGCAGAGTAGCAGGAGAATGCTGGACTCAAGAGCATATGGCCTGGAAAGTGGGTTATGAGGAAATGAAAAGCAGAAAGCAACTGCGAAGAGAAATCTGAGGAAAACGGTCTAGAACCTGCAAAGCGTGCCTCTCGTTTCCCTAGCTAAATTCCACTTCGTTCGAGCCACATCGGTACGGTGTTTCTACGGCTAGACTCCGACGGTGAGGGACCAGTAGCTGGGCTGTACAAAGGAAACGCTTACGATAGCTTCCAAAACGTTTCAGAGGGACGTGGGGTACTCAACGGCACGCCAGCGGCGAAAAAAGCAGAGAGCCCCGATGCGCTCCACTTTATCGCAATCGCTTCCTTATATGGATGGGTGGGCACAGGGTCAATGCTCCGAAGATATGTCGGTCTCCTCTGCAGCAAAGACTAGGGGGAAATGTTTTGACCATAACTCGCCATCTTTGTGATAACTCTCGCCATTCATAGCAAATTGTGTGGAAAAGAGGCCAACCAAAGAAGACAAAAAAAAGCTTGAGAACAGTAGTGTGAGTGATCTGAAAAATGCAACCATTGATAAAGGTTGTAGATGACGAAAGCCGAAAAAAAATTGAAAAGTTTCAGCCCGTACCCATCACGTGAGATCTCCGACCATGTCTACGATGAGCTGAAGAAGGTTTTAATCCTCGCTGGAGCATTCTTCTTCATCACAATTGTTTGCGTGATGTCAAAACTGCAGGTGAGACAAAAATAGTTGCTTAACCAGGAAGGTCTTTCAGGGCGTGACAAGCTTTTTGAAAACGGTCTTTTGCATGATATAGGGGCAGATGCGGGAACCACAGAACCATGTTCAATTTTTCCTGAACGGCCCTCTGAATACCAGAAAAGAGGTCCCGTATAAACTGTTCGATTCGTCGTTAGTATGGACAATTTTTACAAAAAGACTTTGACTTAAAATTGGTGTAAGAGGTGTGACACCAAGCAGCCCCACTGTGGTGTCACACCTTTTTCACCAGTTTTTCAATCAAAGTCTATTTGTAAGGGTTACTTGACGGTCCTAATCATGAATATGGTACTCATTATCATGCTAAACCATTTTGCGCGAATTTTGGAACGTCAACTCGAAATGCAAAAATTTGTCACCACGAGGAATCGAACTAGGGACCCCCTTTTCTGGTATTCAGAGGGCCGTTCAGGAAAAATTGAACATGGTTCTGTGGTTCCCGCATCTGCCCCTATATCATGCAAAAGACCGTTTTCAAAAAGCTTGGCACGCCCTGAAAGACCTTCCTGGTCAGTGAAATCGATCTACATGTAGCTCATACGCACATATGAAGCTTTTTCTCCTTCCTATTCTCTTAGCATGGCTTCGTCTTCGGATCTAAACGAAGACAGGCTATTTTCTATTGTCTCCTCCATGCTTTTCTCTGTGAAGGTGAGATGAGAGTTCAACGATCTTGTTGCTTGCTCTTTCACGAAATAAATAGAAATTTCAGATTGAACTGTCATGTCGAAAACTTCGCCGTACGCATGAGCCTCCTTGTTTTTGTATTTTTGACCTCTTGCATTAGAGCGTTTTCATGAAAAGTTCTTTTCGGGCCATCATCCAGTGAGGAGGGGTGGAGGTGGGGGTGGGGGTGTAGGATGTGTGGTGTGACAATTGCTGCGCTTACAGAAGTTCTAATTTTGGCAGGGTTCAAGGAATACCCCACCCCCCGAGGTCAGAATTTTCGTCTTTACACCCACGCTGAAGCTTCCATCCGTTCCGAATAAAAATCAACTAATGGGATATGAACTGTTCTATGAACAACGCTCAGGACATGTAGGTGGATTAGTGACCCCGTTAAAAGCACGCTGCGGTGTATCATTCTTCTTCTCCCATTAATTTCTGCACGATTGCGACTCAGCCCTGCTCTTCAGTGATAACGCTTTCTGCTAAACGGCTATATGCTCAGACGGCGATAGAGTGGAAGTGCTGGGGCGTTAGCGGGCAGAAAAGGCCATGCTAATTCGCCGGAGCATATTCTTCGATGTTCCACATCTTGAGGGGTCCATCTATCTTCCACTATGTAGGCTTCCCCATCCTCGATCTCGGACCTTACTTTAGGATCATCTTTTATTCAATATTTACTAAGCCCTGTCAGGTCCCTTGCCATCATTTCTGAGTAGCTTTTGCATTTAAAGACGAAGAGTGAAAGTGCAGGTGGGTTACGGCTGTTGATCTTCAACATTTTATCTGTCAGTTTCATTGATTCGTGACATATGTACAGTAGCGGTCAAAAGTTTGGAAACTTTTTTATTTTCGATTTAGCGCGGCCAATAAACACCGAACTTTCCCCAAACTCACATACAGTATGAACATACGTAAGTGCACATACGGCCTGCAATGTGTTTTCGTGCAATCGAGAATCGTAATTAAAAAATAGGATTTCTTTTGAAAAGTGGCGCGTCAAAAGTTTGGAAACTTCACAATTCCTGAGCGAATTCAGCACAATAGCTCTCCAATGCATACGAAAATTAGTAATTTGTTGAGTAATTGTATAATTCTATGATGGCATCGTTTTTTGTGACATTGAATCGATTAGAACATATTTTTAAATTTTCAAGAAGAAGCCCTTACGTCGTGATCTAAATAAATTTTCTGGTGGAATTTCTTACTAGGATGTGTATTTTACGTCATGCTAGCTCTTCTCTGAGGTGTATAACTCAGTTAGACTTCAGATCTTGGCTTGGTCGCTTCATAACAGCTTTTTTTCTGGGTTTAGGAAGGCGGCAGTGAGGAGGTAGGCCTGCATCGGGTCATTTCCGTGATAGAAAACCCATCTTTTGGCTAGTTCTGACTATCGAAGGTAAGCATTGTATTCTACAGACTATACTTGTACTTAGCCCAACCCACATTTCGCTGGATACTAGAACTGGGAATCGCCGAATGGTCGGACACATCTTCATCCATGACAGTACTTCCACTATTTCTGACTGTTGGAATCTCATACTCTAAATTAGGTTTCCCTTGACATAACACTCTCAAACTTCACAAATCCATTTCTAGGACATTTGCATAAGCAGTAGAAATTTGATCGACTATGCAAACACAGATTTTCAACCTCTCGCCTTTGATCCAGGCAGCGATATGTTTGACAAAACTAATGTTCGGGCCCTGCCGTATTTTTAGAACACAACAAAAGGCTTCTTGTTGGCAACATTTCTCGTATTGCTAGGTTCCCGACCTGTTGTGAAATTACTCGACTGTCATTCGACCTAAGAAAACTGAAAGTTCTTTCCGTGGGATGAAGGATTCGGGGGACGAAACCAGCCGACCCCTCTTCGAAGCTTTTGAGTGAAGCCAGTTTCTTGTCAGGCTGTCTGTTGTGAAGGTTACGTCTCTATGTGATTGCACGAGTCCGATAGTGCCAGAGAATTTTTCAATATTAGCGCTTCCATAGTAGATTGATTTCCTGAGAAACACACTCTAGGTTCCGCCTACGCAGACTCTAGGGTTTCGACAAACCTTCCACAAAGCTAATGTTTACGTCTTACATAAATTTATTCGGAAATTACATAATAATTAATAATAAAGCTGAAATTGACAAAGATGTGCAAAAATTGGAGAGAAGAAATTACTATAGCGGGAAAAAGCAAAAGTTCCCAAATTTTTGACGCGCCATTTCTTTGAAAAAATCGTAATTTTTGATAATGGTTCTTGCTTTTAGAAAGGTATGTTGCATATGGCATTTTGCACTAAATTTTGTATATCATATGTGAATTTGAGGCAATTTCGTAGTTTACTGACCGAGCTAGATCAAAATAAAAAAAAGGATTTCCAGCCTCTTCCTTGACGTATTGTATGTAATCCTTTTTGCTGCCCTAAGCTTCTGATGCTTTTGGAATTGATAATACTGAGAATCATCTACCGTGAAAATTTGAATCTCACCTTTGGAAATCTAATAGACTGCTTGCAGTCCACGTGAATTCTGAACTGAAGCGTTCGCTTTGATCGTGTTTCTATAATATTTCGCTTCGATTTTTAGCCTGATGACTGTTTAGTGCAGTGGTTCCCACTTATCTGCTCTAGATTCCAAAAAAACAAATGGAAAAAACGTGGTGTTTGTCGGGCGGAAAATGTTAATTTAGCGCACGGAAGTGACGGGTAGATGTGTCATGAATGGCATACTAACCATTAATCCCTACTAAGGCTTCCCGTCAGATGTCATGGATTCCCGCATTAGAAAAGAGCTTGCTCACGCATCGTTCAGTTATTTCTATGTCCTGCTCTACTAGGTATACCTTACTATCTCCTATACACTGCGTTTCATAAATATAGGTCCACCCCTAATTTTTTGCTATTCCAAAGTTGCTGTGCATTTTTGGAAAATGCCGCTATTACCAATAGTTTCCCCCATAACGAAAAACCTTGATACTTGATTTCTGGAGAAATCTCGATTCAGAATTATTAAAATATCTTCCTTAGAACGTATTTTCACCGTTTCGCAAATATGACTACACATCACTTGTCGAGAGATTTTACTATAACGAAAAAACGTCACGAATTTTCAATAATGGGATGACCCCCCAATAATCATAAGGAACACAATAATACGTTTTGAAATGCTGGTAGCCAAATTAGCTATTACAGTAGGATCGAAATTCGTCTGGGCGCCGATGATCGACCTTTTCAGCTTTTCGGCTGTTCCATTTTGCTTTACTTTGCTGTGGAATCTAATTAAGAATAACATGGTGGCCACCAGATAACTGCCACATTTTTTCCTGCAATTCCATCTGGCGCGGAGGGACCGGCATGGACAGCCGCGTTATCGTGTGTGAAAATCAAGGATAGAGGGGATCCTTGTTGAAAAAATGGTAAGACTCGCTTCGAAAGAACTTCACGCATACCCTGTGGAATCTTTGTGAAACGCAAACACGCCAAGAGCCGAGCCCTAACGGCCTACTCCAGTCGTTTAAACAGGTCGCTCCGCAACCCATCTCAAGGGCAACCGGCACGAATTACGCGGCGGTTACATTTTAAAAACCCACTTTTCTTTCGCGATGGAGCACCGCGCCACCCACCTCTTAAGCGTCCCTCGATCTGGATCCACTCCCCCCCCCCCTTGCCCCCCCCCCGCCCCCCCCCCCCCGCGGCCCCTCCGCCCGCACGCACACCATAGAAGAACGGACCGTCCCCGCCTCCGAGCACCCCTCAGACCCACCGGTTAGAACGAAGCCAAGGAGGGAGAGGCCAGATTGACCGCAAACGGCCTTAAACAGACGAATATGCGCGCCGGCAGAAAGGCAAGCCATTTCAAATGTAGGGTAGCAGCGGTCCAGGTGCACGGAGAAAAAACCAGCGAAACGCCAGAACCTTGAGAGGAGACCACGGCTGCGCCCGTTGGAGGGACGCAGGAGTTGCGACTTATGTCTCGGTGGAGCCCTTTCGGTGATGCTCTCTGGGCTTCTGACGCACTTGCTACAGCCAACGCTACCTATTCTGAACTACTGTATACACCACCACCTCGAGTGAATGAACTATTGTGCGCTTGGAGGGAGAGAGACGAAAAGAAAGGGAGGGGCCGCGTCGCACCTGGACCAGAGCCACGGACTCGGTAAGTTTGAGCGCGTCTAGATTTATAACCGTTGTAAGAGTATCATCACAACCTCAGGATAGTGTCAACTCTGCGTGCGGCGGGTGACAGTTGTCGTTTGTCCTGCAGTCTTTATTGGCTCTGCACGTTTAGGAGCTTCGCCCGACGAGTTTCTATAGGATCCTAACAGAATTCCTCAATCGCCGATTCGAAGATTTTAGAGCCTTTTGCCCGGGGACAACAGGGAGACTGCGAGCGGTGTAATGGAGCGCCGCAAAGAAGTGGGAACGCTCGCGGCGCATATATTCCAGGTATTGTGGGAAGGCTGCGGGCCGGCTTCTTACGACCACCGGGGGCGGGTTTTACGCCACCGGACCAAGATCATTTGACGGCCCTTGGGTTTCGGATACGTCCTTCAATGCACACTTTTTTTTGTTCTTCAGAACTCCTTTTGGGAGCAAAATATTCGCTTCGACCTACAAAACTACTCAAGGCCTGCTCCTCCGGACACTAAAGTTTCGGACACAACACGGACGACAACACCCAGTTCAGCTAATCCAACGTGATGTATGTCTCGGCAGACATGTGCTTGATAGTCCATGTATTATCCTAAAGACTTATTCTCTTCTACACCCCGATATGATCCGGATTTTGACATAGTCGCGTATACAGTATGAGACGGGCCGACAATGCGGAGAAATTCTTGCTCGTCAGCTTTCCCACTTTCAGAACCCGATGCTCTAGTGAGGCTTGCGATTTGGGTAGCGTGGGGGAGACAGACCGAATACACGTGAAAGCTGGTAGCGTCATCAACTGCTCCGTATAACGACTCACGACCCACCGCTTCACTGTTGTCCCTGCGCGCTGCTCTTTCCCATGAGTTACCTGTGCACCACATCCGGATGGAACACATTACGGCAAACTTTTATTTTCCCACTCCCAATGAACAGATGGGCTGTGGCCCGCGCCAACATTCTTGAAACCGAGCTACAGGAATTCCGTCAGGGTTTTAAAGATCAAAGTTGACTCTGCCGTTATGAGACGGATTTACTGGAACTTATTAGAAAACCTATGAAGGTTTTCCGTATGGGGATGAATCTATCCGTTGATAAGCAGCTATTCCACAAGAATGCACAGGCATACTATATCAAAACCTTCAAGGGCCGTTTAGCCAAAACAATTTAGCCGGTGGACCTAAAATTATCTAGACATCGCAGTATCCTATCTGTTTGAATGACTAACCGTTCATCTGGTTTCAGATTAATAATTGAGGACTTCTTTTTGAAAACTTGTGAATTCGACCCGGCTGTGCTTAATTACATTATTGTATTATTATCTCGCGTTGTGTAACTGTATTAATAGAATTTATCGATATATGATACTAACTTTGGAGCGATGCCAATGGCGCGTATACCTACACTGCTTTCAATAAGTGAATACAGTACCTACAGTTGGTATAAAGAATCTCAAAAGTTCTGTAGGAACGTTAGAAAAAACGAACAGTGCCAATAGAGAATGTGATAAAAGAGTTTTTTAGCATAAGTGTCCCGAGTTCAGATATCAACACGAAAATCCATGTCGAAAACGCCAAAAAAAATTTTGTGCTTATTTTTTCAGAAGAGGTCGATTTTCCTATGTTCAAAAATGATACAGCCACCCCGTGTTTTTCGTTGAAATTCATTTTTGCTTCATGAAACTGATTCGCAGTTATCAGGCTTTCACCTTAATGTTCCCACAAGATAAAAAAGACAGTTGATTTTGAAAAAGGTAAACTGTAGCAAAAAGGAAACAGGAATAGTCAAGCAGTCATATTGTAGATTATGGACCGAAGAAGACCTCTGGGTGTTCATCTTTGCTTTTTGGTCAAGTTAAACTCCGCATTTTGGGGAAACATTTCAATTTCATCGAACAGTGCCCGGAATTTCAGTCTTCTTTCAAATTTAATCTTTCAATGGATATTGTTTGGGATGTGTTGAAGATCTCCCGAAGTCATTCTTCAGTGGAAGAATCGAAGAGACTTACTTGGGTGTTATGTCTTACTTTCTGTCTGCGTTTCTCTCAATGTTTTTCGCTTCATAGGAGTCTAATGAAAGGGAAAACCCTTAATGAGGAAGGAAAAACTCGAAAGAAAGTAAACAGAAAGTAAGACATAACAGACAAAAGAACTGATCTTGCTCCAGTGGACGTGGCTACACTTTCGAGCAAAAAATGTCTCAGTTTTCGAGAGAATTTCTTTTCACAAACAAGGTTTCTTTAATTCTCCATTGAAGAATGACCTCGGAAAATCTTCAACACATCCCAAACAATATCCATTGAAAGTTTAATTTTGAAAGAAGACTGGAATTCCGGGCACTGTTCGATGAAATTGAAATGTTTCCCCAAAATGCGAAGTTTAACTTGACCAAAAAGCAATGATGAACATCCAGAGCTCTTCTTGTTCCATAACCTACAGGATTCCAGAAAAGATTGTTAACCGTATTGGAGCTTTGACTCAATTTTCGCGCAATATGACTGCTTGACGATTCCTGGTCCTTTTTTGCTACAGTTTACCTTTTTCAAAAAACTGTCTTTTTTTATCTTGTGGGAACATTAAGGTGAAAGCCTGATAACTGCGAATCAGTTTCATGAAGCAAAAATGAATTTCAACGAAGAAACACGGGGTGGCTGTATCATTTTTGAACATAGGAAAATCGACCTCTTCTGAAAAAATAAGCACAAAATTTTTTAGTGTTTTCGACATGGATTTTTGTGTTGATATCTGAACTCGCCATGAAATTTGTCACATTTTCTATCTGGACAGTTTTTCAGAAACTATAAACTTTGAGTTTTCGAACAAATTTTAGGTGGCTGTATCATTATTGAACGCAGTGTATTACTGCCCCAAAATCTCAAAATTTCATTTTTCGTCGAAACTTTGCCTATAAGGGTAATTCGATGCCCTGATTACGAATATGACATTCATTTTTGATGCTGGCGCCATTGGCGCCAGTTGGCGCCACCTTGTCACGACGGCTGTTTTCACGAAATTCGGTGTAAACTTGTACATAGGGGTTATTTGGTGTCCTGATTACGAATATGACATTCGTTTTTGGAATTGGCGCTGTTAACGCATATTTTCTGCTCTCCTGGGCTCTCTCACTTACACATTGTGCTTAAGACTAAGCTTATTGGAGAAGGAGGACTCCGAGGTGGGTAAACCACGCAGCATGTGACAAAAGTTGAAGTGTGTGATATCAGGGTGAGTGGCCTCACTCTTCTCCAAAGCGCTTAGCCCTGATAGCGATCAGCTGAGTGAGAGAGCCCAGAAGAGCAGAAAATATGCGGTAAACAGCGGCCAATGTCAAAAATAAATGTCATATTCGTAATCAGGACACCAAATAACCCCTATTACAAGTTTACACCGAAGTGAAAACAGTGTCGTGACAAGGTGGCGCCAACTGGCGCCAGATGGCGCCACCGTCAAAAATGAATGTCATATTCGTAATCAGGGCCCCTATTGGCAAAGTTTCGACGAAAAATAAAATTTTGAGTTTTTGGGGCAGTAATAGTGGGTGGAATAGTACCGTTTGGGTATCTGTTTGTGACTCTTCCTGTTCTCAGAAATATCATGGAATTTTGCGAGGACAATTCTGATCAAAGGAGGTTCATCGAGCGAGCTTTTGCAAATCGCTCAAATGCATTTGTTCTGAGGCAAAAAGTAGAGGCGAGCAAAAAGGTCGTTTCATCAATATCTTATCAAAACAAATAGGATCCGTGGCTTTCACCTCCGGTAGTTCATTCGTCCGCGATAGCTACAATTCTCTACCTTCTACCTAAAAATCTACATATTCTCCAACTTCTCTTTTCTCCTCTTTTCTCTTCTTTCATCTCTTTTTTTTGGAACCTACATAGGTAGGTACATCAGGCCTAGCAAAGGTTTTTGATCTGACACTAACTTCAAATGGCCTAAAATTCTGAGTGAATCATTGTCGCCTTGAGGAGTTCTACAAATGCACAAATATGTATGGGCGAAATTCTCCCCTGCTACACCAGAGCATTCTTCAGTCGCAAATCAGTTGCACCGCAACAATCTTTTCCTATTGTTCTTGTATTCCCATTCCAGTTATCACTCCTTTTTCTTGTTATTTGCTTTAGCTTAAACTGTTTTGGTCGCAGTTCGCCATGCAAATATTACAAGAATGCTGACGTGAGTTATGGACAAGAACTCCTCATCTCACCATGGACCGGACTTGAACTCTCGGAAAAACGAGAGATGCTGATCGATTCCCGCATGGTTTGAGAAGTTTTACCCATAACTCAGCATTTTCGTGGTGAAATTCCTTTTTCCATTCCCATCATTGTATCAGCTTACTTTCCTGCTCTTGACAGGTGGGTCAAAATTATGGGGACAGCATGTGCGTGCGGTCATATCCATTTTTTTCCGAGTCGCTTCATTTCCACTCCTTTTCTATGGTACGATGTCTTCATCTTATTGAAACCAATTTTTGCGCAGTTCCCAGAATTAGCGACCTTTTTTCCTCCTAAAAGTTACACTCACTAGGGATTATGACACGCTACAGCTAGCAAGCAATTCAAAGTAACAGGAAAGCTCTCATGGGCAGCGGTACAACACTCCAATGAGCTAAGAAACACCGCGGATGGAAAATGTGGAAATTCAAAGGTTACAGTTGTCACCGACAATTGTCATATGCAAAAACTTGCTCACCCTTGTCGACTTTCGCGCTGCCAAAATGAAAAAAAATTATGTAAAAATTGGAGCACTTAGAGACTCGTACCTCTGTAGGTGGATTAGAGAGCAACTCGTAGCTATTACGCTGGGACCAGGGTGAATAACGGTCGAGGAAATCCTCGACCATAGCTCTCTACCATGCGAGAGTAGTGCCGAGAGTGAACATCCGCGCGGAGAGCACAGACGGCACGGCATGGCGAGTGTGAATGTCCGCGCGAGAGATCGCCTCCGACACGCTCCCGAGCACCGCAGCCCAATACCGTCACGACGGCACGAGGTCGACGTGGAACCCTCAATGCGACAAATACCCGACACGTGCACCCCGTCCTCCCAGCGTGCAGACTTATCCCACTGAGCCAGGAACGAACCTACTCAATCCAATGTCGCCCTATAATTCAACAACTCAACAATTTCCTCAACAACTCGCAAGTCCCAGAGCCCGCGCGACTTATGGCGCATACTTGTTTTTGAGCGCTACATGTTAGTTTCGAAGAATGCGTTATCCTCTGGAGCGCCGCCCACTACCTGGTTCTAAATTTATGACCCAACCGCACCCTAGATTCGTTCTGGCGACAACTGCGTTATCCCTGAAAGCGGGCCGCCGCCCACCACAAGCCAATTCTGGCGTATTGACAGAGCTCATGGCCCCGCATTCAGGACACGGCGGCAACGAGAATAGCCAATAAACAAAAGCTCGGCTGGCGTGCCATGTCTCGGAGTTCATAAGGCCTGCCCGCACGCGTCATCCCTCTTCATCTGAAGATTCGTGTAAGCTCAGTAGGCTTAATCTATTTGTGATGTGAGTGGCAGATACCTACAGTTTCTTTGTACTTT